TGCGTGGGGAAGTGAGCGTGGTTAGGAGATGTGGGGGAGGGTTGGTGGTGAGGGCCATGAAGTAGGGGGGCAGGTCTCCGTGCCATAGGACCCACCTCCTGTTCCTTCCCCCTAGGCCCGGATTACGACATAAGCCAATGGACGAACGAGAAAGAGAAGCTGGGGCTGGATTTCCCGAACGTACGTAGCCGCCTCCTTGGCTGTGACTGGGCCGGGGCGGAGGGGGGAGAGTTCAGGGCAGCTGGAGAGGAGCACCATGAAGTAGGGGGGCAGGTCTCCGTGCCATAGGACCCACCTCCTGTTCCTTCCCCCTAGGCCCGGATTACGACATAAGCCAATGGACGAACGAGAAAGAGAAGCTGGGGCTGGATTTCCCGAACGTACGTAGCCGCCTCCTTGGCTGTGACTGGGCCGGGGCGGAGGGGGGAGAGTTCAGGGCAGCTGGAGAGGAGCAGTTTGGCTGCTGGTGCTGAGTGGAGCCAGGCTGTGGGCGAGGGAAGGGCTCCCGACTTTCCAGGGCCCCGTGGCGGGTGCAGGGCTGCCGTGCCCAGGCAGCATGATGGTTGCATGTAGCCCTGAACAGTTGAGTCTGGGGCCCTGTTGTCCACCTGCAGGGTAAATGCAGGGGCAGGGAGTGGCTGGCTCCAGCGCTGTACAGGGCTGGCTCGAGAGACGCTAGCTCTGGCCTCCTGCCGGTACCGAGTATTGTGGTACTCTCTGATTCCCTCTCCTTCCCTCCTAGCTGCCCTACCTCATCGACGGCCCGACCAGGCTCACCCAGAGCAACGCCATCCTGCGCTACCTCGCGCGCAAGCACCGGCTGGGTGAGTCTGCACGCGCTCCGCAGGAATCGGTCCCACGGGCAGAGTGAGGGGCCGCTAGGGTAGAAGAGCCAGGGCCATTTCCCCTGGAAAGACGAGCCCTGAGTGCCTAGTCGAGATTTAAACTAGGGATGTTAAATATCGGTTAATTGAAGAGTCGAGTAAGCTCATGAATTCTGATTGGTTACTTGACTATTCGATAGTCCCCGGGATAGAGCCGGCAGCCTGTGCACCCCGGCCCCCCTCCTGAGGAACCCCCCACCACTCTGCACTGCTGCCTCTGTAACTTTTAAAAACCAGCTCCCCTCACAGACCGGCTGCCTGTTGCCCTATGCTGTTGCCTGGGTAGTAGCCACCCTTGTCAGGGTGGTGAAAGGGTGTCTGAGCTTCCGGACCTGGCCTGAGCTGGGTTGCTGGCCAGCCTGTCAGGGAATGTGGGCGGGGGAATGCATCTAGTCTACAGCATTAATCTATATGCTTTTGCTGATCGGTTAATTGACTATACGATTACCTCCCTAATTTAAACCGGTGCTGAGCCTCTCTGACTGTGTATGTGTTCTTCTGGATGCCAGCTGGCGAGAGCGAGGAGGAGATGCAGAGAGCAGACATGCTGGAGAACCAGGTGATGGATTTCCGCCTGAGCTTTGCAAGGATCTGCTACAGCCCTGAGTTTGTGAGTACTTCCCTGCTCCTCTGGGGGTGTGGGTCGGAGAGGGCTAGGGGAGGGTGTCACATGGGGATAACAGGTGTAGAGATAAGCCAAAGTTTTACAAGCCTCCATTAATTACATGGGAAGAGGCAGAATTATCCTCATTTTACAGTGGGCAGCAAGAGGAGGTGAAGTAACTTGCCAAAGGTCCCACCGTAAACCAGTAGCAGAGGTATGATTAGAATCTGAGACCTTCCTAGTTTCAACACTGCATGTTCCCCTAACTCATGCTGCCAGAGACAGAGAGGTGAAATCACTGGTCCCAGGGGCTGTGTGTCTGAGCAGACCAGTCCGTGAAGTCCATTACCCACTGCCCCTCTTCAGACACAGCCTCTTCCTTCAAAGGCAGGTGAATAATTTCTGTCAAGCACCCAAGTAGTTACGCAAGGCTGATGTGTCTGGCACAGGAGAGCCCGTCAGAGGATCAGTTTATGAATGACCCACCCCGCCGCTTTGGGCCACATTAGAGAGACTGAGTTGGAACATGAGGGTTTGAACCCCGCACCCTTGATTCTGTTTACCCTTTTGCAGGAGAAGCTGAAGCCAGAGTACATGGAGCAGCTGCCAGGAAAGCTGAAGCTGTTGTCCCGGTTCCTGGGGGACCGGAAGTGGTTTGCCGGGGAAAAGGTGTGTGGCTAACGAGGGACCGTGTTACTGCTCCGTGTTAGAGGCCAGAGGAGGGCCGTGCAGATCGGGATGGTTCTAATCTGCTTATTTTCATTCTAATTTCCCAGCTCACCTATGTCGACTTCCTTGCGTACGATGTCCTGGATCAGCACCGCATGTTCGAGCCCAAGTGCCTGGATCAGCTGAAGAACCTGGAGGATTTTCTTAACCGCTTTGAAGTAAGCTTGGCTTTCACTCCCCGGCGACATGCAGCTTTCTGGATCTCCAGGGCTGGCCAAGCTGGTTCCACTTCTGCAGTGTCTGCAGCACATCACCTTTGGCCCAGTTACTTTTCCCAAATAAGGTTGATGGATGGTTTCCATTCTAAGCTTTGTGCTCCTTTCTCTTGTGAAATCAATCACTTACTGCTAGGTTCTTTTCACAATATATGGAATTGGGATTCACCATAAACAAGAGGCATTCACTATAGAAAACAATCACACACTGACATAGAAATGAGTTTCCACACAGCTCAAGTTCCAGCATTGTCTCCCTTGTAAAGAGCTCTAGACAGGGAACTGGTGAACACCACAAAGTCACTAGTAGCTGAAAAATACATTGCAAGTGCACATCATTCCAGTCCTGAATTTCTCAGGCTTGATTCTTGGGCAGAGTTGATTTGAAGAACAGTCAGACAAACTGGTTTTGAGAGCTGGAGCTTTGAGAAGTTACTGGACTTCCTGCTTTCAGAAAGTGCTTTATCTGCTCCTAACCCTGGAGCAGCTGAGGAAGGTTGGGGCCTGGCTGTCAGCAGCTCTGGAAAATCGCATCCTTGGGGCTTGATCCAAAGCCTATTGAAGTGTGTGTCAAGGCTTCACTTGATTTCAGCAAACTTTGGATCAGGCCCTGGGTCCCCCAGAAGATCAAGGACGTGTCTGACACGACGTAGCTTCGTGCCTTTGTGGTTTGCAATGGGGAGCAGTTCCCTAGTAGCTGTTTGGCTGCAGTCCAGGCTGCATTTCTGGCGGTACGAATGGGTAGAGGGCTTGCGAGGTGCTGGTGTCTCTCTACGTTGATGGATCTCCCTTTGCTTTCCCTGTAGGCCCTGGAGAAGATCGCTGCCTACATGCGTTCTGGTCGCTACATGAAGACCCCCATTTTCTGGAGAACTGCTCAGTGGTGCAACAAGAAGGAGTAGCTCCGCTGGAGCTGAGCAAGTTCTCCTGGCTTTGATGCCCACGGGCCCGTTGAGCATCTGAGAAAGAGACGGGGGGACCCTTTTAGCCTGGTACGCCCCATTAAAGACCAAACCACAAATAGCCTAAATCCGCAAGCCCTGTTGTATCCTAAGTTAGCTGCGCTGTTTCCCAGCTACTGGCTAATATAAATATTTTGGAGATTGGTTAGTGACTTTCCTGGTTTCTGTTTGTTTTGAAACCCCAGCTCTCTAGAGAGTTCTGATGAGCAGGGACGTGCTGAATCTTAGTGCTAAACTGTGTCAGAGTTGGAGCATTTATCCCAGGCCCATTCCTGCCTCTGCTGGCACTCTTCAGGTGCCCAAGCGGCGCTCTGACAAAGCCCTTCCCGTTGGGTGGAGGTTTTGAGGCTCATGTAAATCCTTGGCCTTCCAGCCTCCAAACCCACAGGCTTCTGCTGCTTACTAAAGGAGAGCTCCCTTAGCTGGCAGAGGTAGCAGGTCCACTCATTAGAGGGTCACCCTCACTCCTATGTACACAGAGCCAGGGTGTTACACAGTGCAACTGCCTCTCTTGCTGAGCCAGGTCTCTGTGATGCTTCCTCCAAGCTCTAGCAAAGGAGGCGTGTACACCCTCTGCAACCATCACACAACACGGCTTTGCCCTGGGCCAGCAACAATAGCATGCAGCCAAAGGAAAACGGGCCCCTAGGGGAGCAGAGATGCGGAGGAGCCTTGTTGCTGACGGGACAAGCCCGTGTTGTGGCAGAGGCCAAAGGGAAGGGGGCTACAACAGAGCCGATACAGAGAAGTGGTGCTGGCCGTAGCAGGGGAAAGGCCAGGGGTCTGGGCTGCGTGAAAGCCCCTGGGGAGAGGGGGTATCGGCTGCTCGCTGAGTGCTGGCCCTGGCGGGGTGCGCTGGAAGGATGCTGGCTCGGGCCCACTCTGGCTACGCGGCTCCCTCCTGCCCTTGCAGCTGGTGCCCAGCAATTCCCCTCAGTTTCATCTTGCTGCTTGTGGGAAGCGTGGGTCTGACTCTGGTCCCTGGGTGTGAATGAGGAGTAACCCCCTGGCCCTCCCGCACCGGGTGCAGATCATGAGGAACTGGAGCCGTGCTAGGGTCAAGCTGGGTTACTTGCTGGGCTGAGTCCCCTGGCAGCGCTCGAGCCATCCTACAGCTGGTCCCGGCTCCCGCTCCGGCTCCGCCCCAAGCCCCTGGGGTTGACTCATTTAAAGAGGCAGGGCCCGGGTCAAACCCAAACTAATCAGGATTCCGAGCCGAGGCGTTACGCTCCCACGCCCCGCCATGCCACTGCCCCGGGAGCGGGCCGG